GCATCAAGCTGTAATTAGAGAAAACACAGACACCACAAAACTACGCGTTGTGTTCGATGAATCATTATATGCTGAGGGCAAACTGTCATTGAATAATTATTTAGAATCAGAATTTTCTTTCCATTTGAAACATGTTTAACTACTTTTAAAATGATTTAAATATGGAGTTGCGGCTTTTGAAAAATTTAGTTTCCGCTCTCAAACGTTCCTGAATTTGAACATGCGGCTTTTAATGACATGAAGTTTGCTTGCTCCTGTACTAAGAAGAAATGTTCAAATTTTGCAAATTTTACAGCAAAGGTACGGAACTTTTTATTTAACTAATTAAAATATACTGAATATTTTATTAATTGGATATTTTACTCGACGAAAGCTATATAAAATGTTATGTTTTGCTATTTGCTACGCTTAATCACTGAACAGAAGATTTTTATCCAAAATTGCCTACATTTTAGACATTTTATAAATGGATGCATATGTTTAGAATCAATAATTGAGAAAATTACTCTGCAGAAATCTTTTTCGAGCACTCTTTATACAGTAAACAAATTAAAATAACCTTTCTTCTTTCCATATCAAGTGAAAAAAATCAAAAGTGGATATTCACGGTTTCAACTATCATTCAAGGTTTCAACTTCCACAACAGAAATATTTGAAATTTTTATTTAGAAAAAATAGTTTTATATAAGAACAAACATGAAAATACTTAAATCTACCTGTTCTCGGGAATCACACACAGGATGCAATTAAGAATTTTCAGCAATTTTTCTTACTCAGCCTTCAGTTTCCGGCGAATGAGCTGGCTTCTTGGAAGTGTTTGTGTTTTCTTCATGTGTAACGTTGGTACGAACCAGTTTCTCTCAGAAATTCCGCCAAGAAAACATTTCTCCTCTCAGACAGATAGCCTTCGTGTGTATAACAAGTAATCCAGTCTAGTCTTACTCAGCTGTCGATTTCTACGAAACTAGTAATCTAATGGTCTGCAAAATGAATTGAACAAGATCGAAATGCATAAAAAGTATGTTTATTTGAATATTGCAAAGCACACGAGGGCTATCATCCAAAGGAAAGTTATGTCATCATGAAGGAATTTCGAAGGGGAATTGGCTCAGATTTAAATTACATACGAGGAAACCACGAAAAGCAACTGTGTAGCCAGCCGTTCGCTTGGAATGAAACCTTGGCCGAACGATCTTATTTATAGTATTTAACGGTCTTATTCACTGAAATGCATAAAAGAGCTTAATTTCAATCTGCTCTATATTTAGTTTTTAATCTTGTCACTATATTGTACTGAAGTTCAGATCGTCGAAAAGATAGCAGATATCCAAGGAATTAATAAATGATTTTGCAGAAAGGAAATTTTAAAGAAGAAAATTTTAATACATCATGACTTTTTTAATATTTATTTATAGTGATCTGTAACATCAGTTTCATCAGTCCCATTGTAGATTCGTTACATTTATCGAAGCAGGCAATATGGAAAAGCAACGATGCCCTCGCCGGGATTCGAACTTCGGAAACTCCTATTGTAGCAGGAAATGCCCTCCAATTACACCACAAAGGCACGGTGTAAGGAGGCAGAAAATACCTTACAGCATAAGCCAATTATTAATTATTACAATATTAGCAAAAAATTACAGCTGATGGAAAGAAGAAAATTAGGAATTACATGAACTAGAACTAGAGGAGTTAAATGAATAGAGATTAGAAAATTATACAAACATGCGTATATATATATATAATTAACAAGTAAGGTTAGTTAGTACAATACTGTAAGACCAATTTGGTCTAAATAATTTTTTTGCGCAATATGCTGCAAAATTAAGGATATGAGATACACACACATATATATATATTAGTGGAACAACTTTGTTAAGGAAATTTCTGATATAAATGTTTATTTTAAGGTTAGAAAATACAGTTTTGTTCAAGAAGGTCTTAAATTTATTTTTAATTAATGAATTTATTAATTTGAAAATTTTTGAATAATTAATATTTGTGAGCTAAATAAGTTATGGCGTAAAATTAACATAATTTCTTTTGTATGTTTACCTATCATGATGTCTGTCTCTTATCGCTTAGCGAAAATTTCATATAAAATTGAAAATGAAATTTTATATAAAATCTATTAATTTAGTGTTTCAACCCTGTATTTCGCATGTTTCCATTTTATATTTCCTTTTTACTGTATTTTACATGATACTATGCTTCTTTTCTTTCTAGATTCTTTTTATTTGTCCCCGAAACGTCCCTGATGAAACAAAGCCTCATAAAAATTTGAGCAAAGCAGAAAAGCTGAATTAAAAATCTGATGTGTACACCACGTGCTTCCTTGTACGGAATATTAAATTATACGCATTTTTTCTTGCATTTCATTTAAACTTATTAGACTGAATTAAACCTACTTCGCCGACAGCGCGTAATCCACAATAGAATAAATGCATTCTTTAAAATTCACTTTGTTTACCATATGACACTCTGGCGCTAGGTTTACTTAACAGTATTATATTTCGTTCATATTATAACTCAGAATGCACAAAATTTATATCATTTAAAGAATTATCTAATCGTTGCCACATGTTCTATTCAAATACTATAACAAAGCTAGAACGATGTATAAAAGAAATTAAGCAAACAAAACAAAAAAGAAACAGTTTTCACAGACGATTGAGTATTTCTCATTCAATTAATTCAGTTTTCACTTCGCGACAAGGAAATATACATAAACTCAAAATATCTATATTAAAAATTACGAAGTAAATCTTAAACACTTATTTCCTCGAAAAAATTCCACAAAGGATTAAGCATGATTTAATTCGCAATAGTAAAGGAAGGCGTTATTTTTGTGTTGCGAAGCTTATTGATTGGCAACAATTATCTAGATTGGCAACAAATCTACAATTCTGCTGTTTCAAATGTTAACAAATATGTCCGCCATGTTATTTAAAACTTTACCGCACTTAAACAGCTTTTAAATTGTTGATAATTGTACAAATATTGCTTCCAGAATTACGAAAGTCATAAAACCTTTAACCGGAAGATAAAAACAACACAATTCAATCATTTTTAAAGCAAAAAATGTACAATTTACAAACATATAAGAGTAAAGAAACTGAGATCACTGAGCCGGGTAACAGAGTGGATATATATATAAATATATTTATATACGTTTGGTGCGGCCGATTGCAACCAAAATACGAGGTGCACATCTACATGTTATAGCAGTCCTATATACAAAATTTCAACGTTCTGAGGCTACTCGTTTTTGAGTTATGCGAGATACGTACGTACATACGTTCGTACAGACGCCACGAAAAATTCTCTTCAGAATTAATTTTAAAGCAGTTTCATAATTTTTTTGGAGGAAAGAGTGTTTTATTCTGTCCTTACATACAGTCACGGAAATACATCGTTAAATTGCATTTTAAAGAGGTCAAAATGGGATATTTTCGTTGAAATATGCTGCCTGAAATTTTTCGCGATTACAATACTTCTTTTTTACTTCGTACAACGAAGTAAAAATCAGCTGATGCCAGGAATAAAGCTTCAATTTTTCACTCATTGATGACTTAAAAATAGAGAAACGGAAAAAGAAAGGGAGGAACACTTCGTAATTTTTTTCACAAAAAAAACTATCACGCGTTTTCCACCTTGATACGCTATGAGTACGTGCTTATTCAGCACTGATTAAAGTCGTCGTTAGAGAAAAGTCATTGATCCCTCTCCTTTTTTTGGACAGCTGTATATGATAGGGAGTGGGGCCCAGAAATTTGTTTTCATAAGGGGCCCAAGAAATATACCTATGCCACTGGGCCCAAAACACATGTAAAAGTGTAAATAAAAGCTATAAATCCCTAAAAGTCATTGTTCAGGTGCTATTAAAGCCCAAGTAATTTAGTTAATCCAAAAAGAGAGGAAGCGAAGATTATCTAATTAAAGAAGGGAGGTCTTTGTTTAGAACTTTCTATTGGTGATAAATATGTTACTATACTGAAGTAGGTGATGACTATATTACTCATGGGAAAAGCAACAGAAAACTCATACTTGTATTCTTTTCGGTGGGATTAAGTACGTGCTGATATATACGCATTGGTAATGTGAAATTTAAATTAGTTATCGTTGAAAAAGGACTCGTTGTCAGTTCTTTGGTATATATGAAATTTGAAATTTTATGTCTCGCAGGGAACCAACAGAAAAAGGTTTTCCATAGTCGATTTAAGAAAGGGGATAAAATTATCACAGAACGAATAAATTTAATAAGAGACATCGCTATTACTATTTTTGGGATAAATCAGGTTCGACCATACAATTTTAGTTACACTGGTTGCAAATTACCATTCGTGGAAATGTTAAAATGTGAAATTTTGTGCTTATAGAAATTATATTTTATATCACCCATTATATCAGTTTTTTCCCTCACAGTGAAAATAGCTTAAATCATGGAATCTTAACAGTAGTTTGTTCAGAATAAGTTTGCATATAATGGACCTTCTCCTATTAAAAGTCTTTTGTAAAGTAAGCACCAACTTGTTATTTGAAACATTTATTCACCCATGGAAAAATTTTATTTTTTTACAGTCTTAGTATAAAGTGTTACGTGATCAAAATTGTCCCACTCTAAAAGTGTTCTTTATTTAATATATTTTTTAAACTGGAACAATGAATCAATTACAAATTGTTCAAAAGCTATTTAGTCATGCACATTTCTTGTAACATTCTGCATATCATCAAATTGATAATTTTAAAATCTTTTTATTTTATTAATAAAATTAATAAAACAATTTTTATTACATTATGCTGTATGAATGAGACTATAAAATTTTACTTTTAAAAACTTATTGCTAGATAATGCACAGATGATCGTTGAAAAAGTACTCGTTGCCAGTTCTTTGAGAAAGAAAATGAAAGCAAAAAAGCAAAAGAGAAAAAAAAAAAAAAAAAAAAAAAAAAAAAAAAAAATCACAGTCTCTGAGTAAAATTTAAAAATAATTACTAACTCGTTTCAGGTGACATTGGATGTTGTAAACGGTTCGTTCATCCTCTTGTATACTTTCCTGAAGAGCTTTACTTGTTTTAAACCAAGCATCTGCTGTGTCGCTCAGGTTCTTTCTGATTGCTGCAGCCGTCCGGAAACAGCAATCAGTGGCTTCTTGCCTTGAAGCTACAGAGTTTTGTAATTTTACCTCGAGATTTTTCTCCCAATCTTCTTCAGAACTAAAACGAATTAAATTATTTTTAAAAACATTTTTGAAGTTTAGATTCCAGTGTAGTTTATAATACACTTGTCTGCAAAAATTAAGGACGAGGCAGAGAAATTAGCGTAAAAGCAACAGAACGGACTGAAAGACCAATCAGGAGAGAGGTTTGGGATCTGTACAGTACGGCATAGGCCTACACGGCGTGGCCTTGAAGCGAAATCAATTTGGAAGGTCACGTGATCGAAATAGTCGATCTCTTTCTCTTCACTATAATCGTGAAGTTTATTTTTTGCCGAAAATAATAGTTTTCTCTTAAAACTATTATTTTCGTAAAGTAATAAGTAAAATTAATAAACGTGAGTTGGTAGCATGAGTTACATTAAATTTTTCATAGTGTATTATTTTCACAGGAGGTAAAAATACATATCTTCAATAATTTAAAAACAATTATACTCTGTTTATGTAACTAAAAATATCATTGAGATTTACTACATGCAATCTTTATTTCTATAATTTTAATAAAAATGGAATCCATTTATGTAATATGAATTAAATTTATTCCAAAATAATATAAAATCCATATATGTGGGAAAATTCAATATATTTATGGATGTAATTTTTTTTTATATTTCTTTAATAGTAAAATAAATATTAAAAAGCAGAATATTTTGTAAAAATCCATGCCATCCCATCAAATATCCATAGATAGTCATCTCTCTTTACTCCCTTCACTAGTAAAAACTGGCTATCTCAGTTTTGTTAAAACAGGGAAATGAATTAAAAATTCCTTAAATGTTAGAAAATTTGATAGTAAAGATAAACTTATTTGCATTTTATGCTATAAATAACTCTTTCAAGAAAAATTCGAAGAATTAAAGGCTAATTACATTCATAAAAAGGACATCTTCTATTTGTGCCAACTCCAATTTTATGTTGTCTTACTTTTTTCAAACCATTAGAGAGGTAAGTGATTAGGCTCATTTTTTTTAAGTGGTTTCCTCAAATTACAAGCCTATTCCACTATTAAAAATATATTCATAAAACTTGGAGCTGTACAATATACACACATGCTACATATTATACATAATTTATGCAGAAACAAAGCATAAATAAAAATAAACAATTGTGACTTATTAACTAAAATTAATTGGTAAATTTTTTAACTTTTATATATTAATTTTGTCATTTTTATATTTAGCACTATTATTTACCATTATATAAAGTTTAAGTTATTTAAAATCACTTAGAATAGTAAAATAATCCACTTGCAAAGCACTATTAGCAAAATATATATCCACAAAATACACGACCACGGATTCACAACCACATACTACCACAAAAACACATCGACCACATGGATCACGTGACTTTTGGGCTTCCAGTCCATTATAGATTTGGCTGTGCTGTACGGCATGTGACGTAGAGAGAGGAATGTCATGGCCGGTGTACCTTCAGCAATCTAGTGAATGGATTACAAAGAACAGTGATTTCAATTTTTGCACATGTTGGAGTACACGGCAATGTAAAAGCAGCCGAAATTCCCCAAACTGGCAGCCAAGGATGAATATACGCGGATATTGTACATACCATGGTCGAAGTCGCACATGAAATCGACCACTAGGGCTCTTTTGATGGAATATTGGTAAAGTTCCTGGGATAACGACGATATTAGCAGGAGAGTATATAATTACCTTCCAACATAAGAGATAAATTACGCAATGGTACTTCTGAGCTGACACAATAACTGACGGGACATGGCCCATACATGAGCTATTTATTTCGCTTCAGCTTTCAGAACAGTGCGCAGTGCATATATAGAGGGGTTGCATACCCTGACCTTTATACTTTTGACGGTGCAGGAAAAAGTGCTTATCCTCTCCGCATTCCATCAGCTCAAAACAAACATGTATCGGTAGATAACATCTGCTGCAACACATATGCGCTACGACGTATACAGAAATGCACTGAAATAGTTCTTGGAATCTCCAATCGACTAAATAACTAGATGGCGTCCTGCTTTAGTTAGTCATGAACTGAAAAATGCATAATATGTATATTTTTTCAAGATAGTGGTATATCAGCGAGCAAAATTCGAATCACTCCAGGTCTTACACAGGTTGCTAAGCAGCATCACCAAGTGGAACAGCTGCTCTGTCTGGAATAAAGTAAAGTAAAATTATTTCAACCAAAACGAGTTATTATTTCCGTGTGATATCGCCAACAGGCAATCGAGGAGACGCCATCCGAACGACTTTACTTGAGGTCACGTCATTGGGAAGCTGGAAGATCTGACGGAGATGTTTGGGATCGCTCACAGCATCGTTTCACGGGCTCGGAGAGCATTTCAAACGACAGGAACAACTATCCAAGCGTTCAGCAGCGGTCACCCGAGAGCAAAAACGGCGACGAATGACCAGTATATACTGACTTCCACATCTGCTAAGGATGTCCAGTCATCGGTGTCCGCTATTATACCGAAGTTCTCTTTTCTCACGTGCGTCTGTTTCGAGGTGCTGTGGATCCAGATTTTGTCTTCATGAAAGACAACGCTAGATCTCATCATACAATGTTGCGTGCAGGTTGCGCGCCTCCAACCTGCACGCAACAAAGTGGTGACTGCTGAAACTGGAAATGAGACAGAGTCTTGCGAAGGGTTTAAGTCCCTTTTTATTCAACTTAAGAAATTACAATTGCGTGCTCTTGACGCTCACAAACTACGCCGACCCGGCGGTAAAAATAAAAATAAGAACCTGAAAAGAAATAATAACAAGACTCTAACTACGAGGCTCTCTAACGTAAACTAACCTCACCGCGTTTTACAATACCGCTGCTAATTCAGCAAACTTTGAATATCACGTGTTGAACGATTAACAATTCTCCGAGGCAAGCACACAGGCCGAAACGCGGGGTTCTTCAATTTCTGGCTAACTACCTCCGCGCTCGTGAAGTAAGAACAGCACAACCTCGAACTCGTTTCCTTTCTATTAAACTCAGAATACTTCCGCTGATAATTTGAATCTTTGCGCGTTCTACTAAAATTTACATACTGTGGCATTGGCAGTTCCAGGGGAAAGTAAGGCTTGACAGGAAAGATAGTTTAAACTTAAAATAAATGTCAGTTAAAATAAATATAAACCCTACACAGTAAATGCTGCAGAGCTGTTGGAGAGTGAAGATATTCAACGCATGGATTGGCCTGCAGGGTTCTCGGACCTAAATTCCATAACACACGTGTGGACACTTCTCGGGAGACCTTTGGCAGCACGTGACCAGCCGCCAGTAAGATTCTGCATCTGATATTGGTTCTGCACAAGGCTTAATTTGTAAAATTAGATGTGTCGTAGCCCTATGGAAGACCGTCATCAAAGAGGAACAACAGTAAATAAATAAATAAAATAACTATTAAACTCAATAATAATTAAAAAAATAAATAGTTAATTATTATCAAATTAATTAATAACTATTTAAGTTAAGGTTTATTAATTGTTATTTAATTAATAATTATATATAATTGATTATAATTTTATTGGTAATTATTATATAGTTAATTAATTATAATTTATTGAAAAAATTAAAGTAATTAAATAATTAAATTAAATTAAATGTAAAGAGATAGATTAAAATTTAATAAGCCATTTTAAATATAATTTTATTGCTAAAAATAAAATTTTCGAGATAAAATTTCTACTGAAATTGTTATTCAATTACATAAAAGAAGTGCTGCAGCCTTCTTATTTAGGGCTCCGGTGCGCTCCGGCTAGAATTATAATTTATTACAAAAACTAAAAAGCACCGGCCCAATAAGCTCTGATCGTAGGGGAAGAAAAGTTCTTTTATCATTACAAAAATTAAATATACTTAAAGTATAGTTGATGAAGATTCAGATAATGCTAAACATAGAGCGAAAGAGAATGAGGGCGTGAAAGTATGAGTGGGTGGAAACAAAATTGAGGGGAATTTTGATGAGAGAAAACTTTCAATTTAAGACCGCGGATCTCTGCTGATATAGCCATCAAGCGGATGTGTGTCAGGGGTAAAATGAGTCCTGAATCTGAATCCTAAGGATGAATGTTAAAGTTGCTAGTTACACCTTTCGCCCTCCGTATTTGGTTACGTTAGTGGATACTGTGGGAAGACGATGCTTGAGCATAGGAGCATGCATTATAGGATGTGCTTGAGCAGTTTATCTCAGTATTTGACTTTTATTGTACTCGCTGTCACTTAACGCACATTTAAGAACACAAAATTCTGCGAGGATCACCATCAATAACAATGCACCAGATAGGATGGCACGGCGAGAAATTTACGCTTTCCTAAACAAACTCCCCAAAATTTATTGCCCTTTTTAAAGGGAAAGTTTCCGCATATAAATGAGGGGATTTTAATTGAACGTCTCATGTTTATGAGTTTGTATTTCTAGGGAAATACAGTATTGCAAGGTCTGCTTATTGCTAAACTAAATCGTTAGGAATTCTAATTTTTTTTTTCTTGAAATTGTGGCTCAGTTTTATAAAAAGAAGTAACGGAGCTCATTTTATTTAACGCTCCTGTGCGCTCCGGCTGGAATTGTAATTTATCTTAAAAATTCAGAAGCACCGGAGCTGGGCTCCGGCGTAATTCAAGCACTGGTTCTGCAAGAGGAATCGGCCGCGATACCTCAACAGCTCCTTGACTGCTTTATTATCATCATGAACAGACATTGTAATTCCTGCATGGTAGTCAGCGATGATTATATCTTCTTCTAAACATTGAATATTTTTTGCTAGGCGCCTATCACATGGACTTTTCTGTTTTCTCTCCAGTTCAGCTCGAAGCTACATTTTCAATAAAGTGTCTCTTTATCCTTTTGATTCTTTGTTTGAATGGATTTGTTCACTTGCCCCATATTTTCACATCTTGGAAGTCTTATGGTATTATTTGGGTCATTCTGGAACATTTCTGCACGACGTGACATTCGAAAAACTCGCCATTAAATTTTGCATACCAGGGTATAATATACCATTATTAAGTGCTAAG